AACAGGTTGATCCTAGCATTTATATTACTTTTAATTTAATAAGCTCAAAGAATCTTGGTAACAAAAAATTAGTTTTAAATATGTTAAATATTCTTTTGGAGAGAAAATACTCTAAATAAACATTACACTTTAGCTTCACTGCACTTGCACAATTATATCCGTTTAAATATTTACTTTTTTGTATATTTAATTTTTATTTTTCTCCGGACTCTGACTATTTCTAGCTCTATTCGAATGTGAATACAAATTAAGCGATCTCCCACCAAGAAAAACAATTGTAAGCAAAACTTTTGAACCGCCCAAAATGTATTCCACAATTTGTTTTTGCCGTTTTCCCTCATTTTGTTTTCGCTCGCGGCCTATTTTTAGCCGAATTCGATTTAGATAAATTGTGCGTGCGATCGCCAAGTACATAGATAGATTTGTATCTCAACTGTAAGTATATAGAGGGCCCAAAGAAAAATCGTAGATAAATAAGCAAAGAATTCACAATCAGTCAGTAACAAGGTCAGGGTACCGAGACATCGACATCGGCAACAAAAAAAAACAGCAGCAACAATTAACGCACGTCATCACTCGACGCGTATCCGTAAGATACAAATAGCGACAGACGGACGGGATGGATAGAGATCTGCTACTTAAATTATAGCAAATTGTTTAAACAAACACTTTTTGGTTTTTACTTTTTGTTAATTTTCCGTTTGTAAATCTTTGTTGTTGGTAAAACTAGCTTATGTTCGCGTTTTGCGTCTCACGCCGGCGACAAGTTTTTGTTTACTGAATTCGAACCAAAAACTGAATTTTACACAATATCCAAAAACGACCAGCGACGTCGACAGTGGTGGCTGCGCTCGACGGCAGCAATAAAATTATTTTCAAAAATACATTTTTTCTGCGTTTCTCCTCTCTTTAGTTTGGGAAGACGACGGCGACGACAGCGCCGAATAATAGGCGAGAAACAAAATTTACACACACGACCGGAGCCGAAGCTATTTTTTATTTTATTGTATTTTTTTTTTTGGAGCAAAAGCACCGACGCCGATGAACGATAACGAGAAAAAAAAAGTCGACAAAAATGAGACGCGACAAGCGAAAAAACAGAGTAGATTACATCGAAGAACCGTCGTGTGGCCCTTATCAAAAAGAAGTCTATCTAATCGCAGTCTGATAATTAGCATTGACTGACAGGTGGAGCGGGAAAAGCTGAGAACGAAAAAGAGGTAGAAATATTGGGAGGGAAACAGTTGTGGGTGTTACTTTTTCATAGGGATTCGACGAAAAATAAAACCCTGGAAGCTGATTCAAACTCAATCATCATCACCATCAATCAATCGGCGATTATATTGCGGACGAGGATGCCGGTATGCAAATCTCTCGTTTAAATCCATCTGCCTTGGTTCAACTGTTCAACGATTGAGAGGACACCCATTAGAAATTAAAAGGATTTTTCAACAATCTTTTTCCATATTTATGCATTTACATTTTAAATAAATATTTTTGTACCATTTTTATACCCTTGTAGAGGGTATTATAATTTCAGTCAGATGTTTGCAACGCAGTGAAGGAGACGTTTCCGACCACATAAAGTATATATATTCTGGATCAGCACTAATAGCCGAGTCTATCTAGCCATGTCCGTCTGTCCGTCTGTCCGTCTGTCTGTCTGTCCGTCTGTCCGTCTGTCCGTCTGTCCGTTTCTATGCGAACTAGTCTCTCAGTTTTAAAGCCATCTCGATGAAACTTTCCAGAAAGTCTTCTTTCTGTTGCAGGTAGTACATATGTCGGAGCGAGCCGGATCGGACCACTATATCTTCATTGTAACTTTGTAGGAAGTAGGCGTTTTGATTCTTTACTACTTATGTATAAACAAAATATAAATCCCTGGAACTGCACCGAGTGAGCATTACTTTATCTACAAGGGTATATAAGCTTCGGCTGGCCGAAGGTAGCTTCCTTTCTTGTTTTACTTTAAAATGTAGTTCTAATTTTATTAATTGTGTTCTAAAAGATCCGCCGCCGTTGAACAAACATTATCTTGTGATCAAGACGGCTTTATCTTCCCGTCAATAAATAGGTCTTAACCGGTATTAAAATTTAAAGTCCAGGTTGGTCTTAAGAAAATAAAGCCAATATGTAAATGATACTGATAAGAAACAAAATCACAAAATCAATTAATCATAGGCTTTGGGAAAGGAAACGAAGTAAAGTCGATAGCGCTCAGTTTGCATTGAAGTGACCGCCATAATATATGATCACTATTCTCAAAAACTGTTAAATTAAAGCTACAAATTTAGGAGAATGTTATTATCTGGGGGACTATACTTTTGATTGAAAAATTAATATTTTGCAATCATTCCAATTATACTACCTCAACAAATTCCATTTCAACTATTCACTGACGTCATAAAAATCAAACAATAGCTATCAATTGACAGGAAAAGCGTGTGCATTTTGATTATAAGCCACTCGACTAGCCAAGTCTAACCAAATAAATATGAAAAGGCGAAAAATCTAGGCAAATACATAAAGCCTGGGCACGGGCACATGATGTCCCTAGAACTTATCGAATGTTCTCTATATGATCATCTGACTGCAAGCCGATTTAATGGAAAATTATGAATAGAGAATTGAATTAGATTTCAAAAGGCATGGGGCAAATTGCAGGGAAAATCAAGAAAATTAGAGGAAAGAGGTTGCGATGCGACAAGTGTTGAGTTAGCGTGAAATTTATAGCCAACAACAGGCCGCGCCTGAGTGAAAGAAAAGTCAGAGAAGAAAAGAGAAGCAAAAGAAAATGCAAACGATTCAGTTTTGCTTTCTGATTTAAGCAAATTACAGCAGCTGGCCACCTGCGCGTATACGTAATGTGAATTTATTGGCTCATTAGAGTTGTGCAAACGTTAAAGCGGCAAAAATAGTTTGCAGCTAAGGCGAATTTATGCTTGGTATATTTCTGCGCTGCTTTCCGCCACCACCTATTCATATATTTCTTTAAAGACGTGTGTATATATGGGCGGTAACAGTCGTACACATGATGTTTAATTGGCGTTTAATTGCAATTGGTTGAAAGTCATTGGGACTGGGCAGCTGTCAGTTGAACCTTCTCATCAAGGAACTCATTTCTTATCGCCGCTATGATAATCTATATGGTCGAGCGATAAGCCCGGTATGTTAGGTATTGTTCAGTCATTTTCTATATATAGACCGTTAGTCAGTTCTGGGTAATATAAGATGATTTCGGATACAGGAAATACTTCCGCATATTTTTTGCACAACTTCATTATAAATATTTCAAAAGGAAAATATATTTTGAAATGTACTCAAATATTTAAGCCATTGATTTCAAAAAAATTAAATGGGAATTCAGTCCTCATTAACAATTTTAAAGATATTTTTTTATAAGTAAACCTTTTTTCTGCTGTCGTTAGCCAGGTGTTTCAGTTACGTTCCCCTGACTTGGACACTGTTTTTACAGCACTTACAGCAGCACAAAATCAATATTTGACTGGCGTTTTTTAATTAACAGTCAATACTTGAAGCAAAACTCCAACTCGACCATATACAGGGCAGTTCTTATGGAACCATATTAGGTTGTGCAAATACCAAATACAGACTGAATGTATGAAGAGCTGTCGAGTGGATTAGTCAGGGAAATTTCACACAAAGTTAATGGAGCCAATGTTTGGATTGATAAATAATTACGGTTGTAGGGGAAATATCTGTAGATAGATTTATTAATTATAAACTGTCGTCGGAACCTCTTACGGCTTTGCCTTATTGATTTTTATATAAAATTATAGATTTCTATCGGTCCTGCGACCATGTATCTTTTATAAATTCTATTCCATGGTTGTTAAATGCCGGTTGAACCCCTCCTCTTTTCAGTTTTTTCATTCAAAACCCTGCTCTGAATTATTAATCGGTTCACGTTCCTCTGCTTAATTATCCCTCTGCTACAATTATCCCACCCCATTTAACTTACTGTCTTTTGCGGTGAGTTGAAATGGAAACGCTTACCTGCAAAGAAAATGCAAAAATAAATATCAATTAATTAACTGTAATCCAATTCCAATCAATTTCAAGTACTTATGCCTAGGCAAATAATTAATTTTAAACTGATTGAAAGCGCTGTCAATTCGACAACGACGCAAAAAGTCGTCGTCGTTGTTGCCGGCGACAATGTAGATGAAAATAAAATAAAAGAAGAGGAGAAAAACCAGCGTTGTTGCTTTAATTAATTGTCGTAATCAGGTACAGCAACAATTTAAATGCATGGGTATCTGTAAAAATAAATTTCAGCAATTTTAAAGAGCTAGCTTTCTGCCAAAAGACGTCACACGTGTGTAATTTGTTGGCCAAATGGCAGCGCGACTACCAACAAAACGAGAAGAAAAATAGCATCAATTTTCGCGGTTAGCCAATTTTGGCAATAGCTGTGCGATGTGTGCCACCAGCCGAGTGGGTGTTGATGGCGAAAATTTGAATATACTTATACAATTCTGCCGCCCTTTTCTCGAATCAGAATATTCTTTTGTCAGGCTGTTGGCAGGTGGTCAGCTCGAGGATGAGTCAAACATTAAATAGGTTCGGCCTTATAATTGAAACACTCTGCCTAATTTGGCACTTAACGTCAAGTCAAAGAATCAAAGGACAGAGGTGAAGTGGCTTAAGGGAGGCTGTTTAGATGATAGATTTCTAGGAATTTTAATGAATACTCAAATGTGGGCTAACGAAATTTTTCGAGAAAATTAAAGCGGTTCCATTTAATCGGGTATAGTTGGGGAAAACACATATAAAACAGTTTTCTAATGAAAATTGTTTTATCAGGAAATTGTAAATATAATTTAAAGAAAAATCAAGAAATGGGAAATTCAGGAATGACACGGGAAAAATAATAATATATAACCCAATACTTTTAGGGCCACCAACTTTATTACGAAATTTAAAGTCATCTTTATATAATTTCAAATATTTATATACTCAAAAAAAATAAAAATAAATAGCCTTAGTCAAGTCTTCATTTTGATTATTAACAATCAGATATTTCCGCGGTAATAATGAGATCTGAATTGGGTTCCTCAAAATATTTTTGTGGTATTGAATCCGATGGCAAACTTTCGGCTGTTAGGAATGAGCCATTCAGTGTCTTGTTCAATTTCACATTTGAGATAATAGTAGCCGAATCAGTTGCACCGATACTTTCTGCTTCCACCATTTCCTTCTGATCCTCCTCGACTATTTCAGTATTTTGATAATCCGTGTTCCCAAATGTTTCGATTAGAGGATTGCCCAGGTCATCGATTACAATGCCGACACGAGAGTAATTCGTCTCCAGAATGTCCTCCCAACGATCCACATAGTTGACCTCTGAGTTGTGCATTTCCATTATCGTCGTGAGATAATAAGTGAAATCCCTGCCAGCCACATGAGACAGGGTGCCATTCAATCCAAATTCTGGAAAATCACTGGACACGTCGTATATCTTTCCTCTCAGCGCCACCAGTATTCTTCCATCACTTCGAGTCCCATCGAAACCCAACAACTGATCCAGGGTCAGTTTTATTGGTGGTAAATCAGGCAGATCGGTAGCAGACAACCTGGTAACATCCAGCAGCTGACTGCGTTTACCAGTTCTCAGTTGATAGTGATAGACGTATAAATATCCCAAGACAGCCGCACAGAAGGTCAACACAATGCTGACCATACAGCCCAAGTCTGCTAGCTCTTCATTCATATTGTTATTCGATAATTCCTTTTATTTGGCCGAAATGGTACTAAATTAAATTCTGAATTTATTTATCAACACAGTTGTTTTCTAACATTTCCTCCACGAGTGTTGTAAGTTTGAAAATTGTTTGTGAGCCAGTTTTCTAAAATAGTTATCTCAAGGCCAACTTAGGGGGAATTCATGTATAGAATTCTCGATGCATATTCAAAATTAACAAAACTACCTTTTTGTAATTTTCCTAAATCTTCAGCTAATTTAAGTAAAAAAGAATAGTTTTGTACCCGCTTTTTAAATTTTATCTGTCAATATTTAGAGGGGTAACAAAAGTTAATTTGGCTGTTCTGCCGTTGCCTTGGGAAATATCAAGTAGCTGGCTGTTATCAAGTATTCGGAGACTCGCTGCCATATCATTTGCGGTGCCAGGCAGGGCAGGTGATAATGTCAGCAAGTGTATCAGGAGCACAGAAATTGGAGCACAGCCCCCATAGTCAGGCAGTCAGCACAAAAGCAGGTTGAAAAGTTTTCTTATATTATCAGTTGATTCAATATGAATTATATGAACAAATAAAGGCACAAACACACCCGGAATTTCAAAAGTATCTGTGTGTGTGTGTCATGAAAAACGATAAGCGCCGGCATACAAATATAAACCTAAAACAAAAATTCTGATACAGGGTGTAGTCTGAAAAAAAACAGAAATCAGGTAAATTGGAAAGAAAAATAAACAAATTATGAACTCCGAACATTCAGGTGTTAATCATAATTTACACTAGCTTCAAAATAAAAGTTTAATGCAGCATAAGTAGTTATATTGGATAAAGAAATGCTCGACTTTTATTTGTGTTAATTAGTTTTAATCTGAGCGTAAAACAGTCTTTAAATATTTTCTACTTTGATTTAATTTAAAAAATAAAAAAATTATGCATATGTAAGAAAAGAAAAAATTACCTTACTAATAATCTTGGACCGAATCTTATTTCTTTCAGTGTACGAAATGCTTGAAGGCTGTTTTTGTTTGATAACAAATAATCTAGCCATTTTAATTCTTTAATCAGCATTTTGTTTATTTTGTTAAAAATGAGTAAACATAATTAAGATTATGCTTTAAAAATAATATAAAAGTTCATTGTATTTTTTCTTTTTAAAATAAAACTATCACATTCCCTTCTAACAATTCACAATTTAACTAAATACAAAAAATAGTATTTTTCATAATAAATTGGCTTGTGTTTTGTAACCTGTTAGATCTTATTTACTTACCCGATGAAATCTTTGATAAAACAATAAACTTTAAATAAACCGCGATCATTATTGAGTAAATATTCGGGATGAATAACTGCAGCGGGCATTAGATTGGCGTTTTGTTGTTGCTGCTGCTGTTGTTGGTGATGCATTTGTTGTTGCTGCAGCGTGGTTTCGCTGTCGCCGATTTTGTTGCCGTTGCTGCTGGTCGTCGCCATATTGGCAGCCATTTTGTTGGCTAACGCCGCCATTTTGTTGTTACTGTTGCCGCCATGCTGGCAACACTTATGCTCATGCAATTATTGTTGTTGCTTTGTCGCTTTAGCAATTTTCGTTTTTGTTTGATCAAAGTCAGTTGTGCGGTTTTAGTAGCGCACTTTTAATGTCTTGCCTGAAGCCAAATTTGAATTAAATTTAAATTAAATTGACCAATAAATGTAAATACAAAACCATTTGAATATAATTATAGAAGGGCTTCAAAATGAAGTTCATAAATTTTAAATCATTACTTAAATGTAAAATTTTATTTTTTCGAATAAAATATTTAAACTATATACAATTTTGGTACTTTGTTAATTTGTAGGAACTTTTTAAGTTATAATTTGAAGCTTTAAACACATGAGGATATACGAGGATTTCTTCTCCGTAAATTAAATAGTTTGAACTCTATAAACTGAAAAACAAAAATTCAAATCACAAAAGCAATTGGCAAATTGTATTTTGCTTTCATTTGAAACTTTGCCAATTTCCATTAATTTCAGTTTCAGCAGTAATTTGTCGAGTATTGTGGTGTGCGTGTTTTTGTGTGTGGTGATTGTGTGGGTGTTTTGCATGTGTCATCATTAAAAGCGAAGTTACAGCATGGAGTAAAGTATTTAATTAACATTCACAGAGCACTGACATGCCACCAGGCATTTTGTTGCATGCCTCGCACAACAACAAAAAAAAAAAAACACTCGTACAAACGAGAGATGAACATCGCTTACATAACACACGTGAAACGGATGGGGGAGCATGCGAGATGCAGTAACAGAAACAATTGGGTGAGTTACTCAATATTTTTGACTACTGAATTTCTGTTTATATATAGTAACTTAGGTATTACATTTCTTTATTAATTTTATATCCCAACAGAACAAGTACATTTCATGTGTAATTCTTGAAAATATGATTTTTTTTTAGAATTTTAAATCCGCAAAGATTGTTAATATCACCTTCTGAAACCTGATAAAATGCCTTTAAAATAAATCAATAGGGTTTAAAGAAACATTTATAAACGGTCTAAACGTGTGGAATGAATCCAACAGACTTCTGTGTTCAAAATATATGGTTGCATACCTAAACCCCTTAACAAGTGATTTCCAAATTTAAGTGATGTCTGTGGCGCCCTTCTATATTCTTTTTAGCACACCTACACATTTTAAAGGTCTCTTGTGTTTCAATTATTTCCCCGACAGTGTCAAGAATAATATGACCTGAAGAGTAATGTCGGAAATACGATCTCCTGATTTGCAAGACAATTTTTAGTTGCAAATGGAGAGCGTGTGCCACCGTTTTGTTTAGTGATAGATATTGCTCCGACCGCCTGTCAAGTGGTACAAAAATGTAATATGTCTCTGAAGCAAAAGTTAGTCAGGCACTGGGTCGCCGGTTTTCCTTTTTTTTTCCATCTCCCCTCAGCCTTCGTGGGTGCAACAAATGGCGCCTGGTGACAGCTAGTTGACAGTGCGGCTAGAAATATGACAGCTCCGGCTGGAGGCACTTGTGTGTCAACAACTGTCCAACAACTTGTTTAAGATGCGATAAGCAAAAAGTAGAGACATTCCAGCCATAATGAAAGACGAGAGATGCCTCCCCAGAGAACCATTACAAAAACAGAGAAATCCCCAAAAAAATGTGACTAAAATTTATGTGCTACACACATTAATTAGCATTTTTAATCACCCGAAACGAGAGAACCAAGGTTAGAAGGTACTCGACAGAATTATTTATATATTTTTTTACAATATCATACGTTTAGGTTATTTTAATACAGTCAAGTACTGAGTCCCTAACGATGATGTTACCCGACCCTGACTTTGACTTCCCTATGCCCACACAACACGAGTCGACCAGTCACGTACCAAAAGAGGCGGTCCAAGTACTTTTTTTTGTCAAGGGTCCACACTTCTAAGAGAGGTCGGGTTTGGGGCAACCCCGTGCCAAGTATTTTCATCTAAAGAGTTGGTGGAAAACCTTGAGTCGCTCTGCCAAAGAACTTGTTCACATTCCCATTCACATCCCCCACTCAATTGAAACTGACACACGGCGCCCAGCATGAAACAACACAAAAAAAACCATTTTGCCTTGAAAACGTTTTCATAATGGAACACAACACAAGAAAACAAAACACAGCGCGAAACAAGAAAATAAAATCTGTGTATGAAAATGAACTGCAAGTCTAATGTTTGAGTTCCATTGTAAGGGCATAATTTCTGAGGTAGTCAACACAATGGTTGAATGGATGTTTGGCAAGGATTTTTTTTGTATTTCACTGAGCACGTGCTGGGGGGCCAGTGAGCTTTGATACATCAGATGGAATGTGCCGAAGCAACGGTAGATTACCGTAATGGGAGGCCTAGTTCATCAGGCTCAGGACTGGGGAATATTAAATGGGCTTGGGGACGAAAAACAAGGCAGAAATATAAGTTAAAGAACTTCTTCCGAAAACATTTCATTAAAATTTAGTAGTTTTATGATATGATGGTTTTTATATTAGATCATATTCGAAATGTTAACAGAAACATAAAAAAAATCTAGAATAGGTATACCCATTCGAACTTTGAGAAAAGCTATGAAAATCTCTAAAAGACTTATATTTCCCCATTCCAAAAAATATCTCCATAAATAAATAACGTGTCCTGCCAAGCGCTCAATAAAAATCATTTGAGCGTGAAATTTATGCACATCATAGAACAATGTCAGCAAGGAGTCAAAATCTCCTTTGGCTAGCCTCCGTGTTCCCAACTCTTAGTGCGGATTTAAGCGCAACTCACGCAGTGTAAAGCGGAATTATGCAAAGTATCTGTGAGCGGGTCTCTTTAAGTGTGTGTGTGTACGCGTCATTGAGCTGCGGAAAACAAAACAGAAAAAGAAAACAAGTAGGGACAAGGATCGGGCGAAGGACTCGTCAACTTTCGAAAAGCGCATTACTTGCTTTGGAAACAAGAGAAAAAATATATAACGAAATCGTTTTTGCCACAAAAGCAGCACACATACAGTTGCACACCAGCAGGCCTGACCTTGACCTGAAAATTGCACCATGTGAAGCAAACGAGGGGTGGGTGGGTGTTCTGCTCTGTTCTGTTCTCGCCCCCTCTTCGAGCTATCTGCCTGTGAATGGGCCAACAGAAAAATACGAAACCTGAACATGTTGTTATTTGAGTTTAGTTCGGTTCTTTGTTGCAACTGCTTCGCACAGATACAGATGCTGATTCAGATAGCGGGCGCTCACACAGATACAGCCCACAATCGGCAGCAGCCTCAGATACATTTACACAGATACAATGCATAAAATGCTCATGTCATTGTGTGGGTGCAAATGTGGGTCGTGGCGGATGCTTCGCAATGTTCTGAACCCCACATTGCACTACTCCCCCCTGGATTTTTATGATAAAATGTTATAGTTCCCCCGAACTTTGCTTGACTTTATGGCATCTCCAGTTGCAACTCAGCAACTGAGCGACTGACAATTGGCGCCAAATGCTGCCAAGGACGTCAACATT